AGTGGAGGATGTGAACTGACAATGAGTTGTACTTGTTTGAGCGATTTGGGGACTTGTTATTTGGAGGATTTAGGGGACTTGTTATTTGGGAGACTTGTTTATTTTTGTTATATTTATATTTGATATGTTTATGTGCTTCTGTTAGGTTCATTCATGTACTGAGTTGTTTTTATTAATTTATTTTTAATAAGTTTGTCAAGTTTTATATTACGGTATACTTCTTAATTTTTATTAAACCAACTCATACAGCTCCCAATTTTTATTAAATCAACGCCTCAAGCACTTCATAATTCCTATCGAACCAATTTAAGATACAGTCCACAATTTCTACTAAATAAATTCAGGCTGCATTTCAGTGCTTTCTCCAAAGAATAATGTTGCATAATTCGTGAAGCACATCAAGAAATTTCTGTCGTGCAATGAATGCCACAGGAAAAGGATTAAAGTATATCACGATAGTATTTCATTGAGAATGGCCGTATTGGCATGGTAAAATGGCCCTGGTTGGCCCCAAGCCAGATCGTCTGCGAAAGAAGGGCGTCTCGAAGTTGACCAGCTGACCTAATGCACCTGAACGAGGATGACCTCGAACCACGAGAGTACGTCGGTCCCGATTGGTCGAATACCGAGAAATGGCCACCGTTGTATAACCGGATGTCACGTGGTTCGTTGTCAACTTTTGACCGACGACTGCAACTGACTCTTGTCACGTTTCGTTCTTTTGAAAGTGCTCCAACAAATTTATACTTGTTCGGTGTAACTATAACTAGAAAATTTTTATTATTTATTTGCTGGGTTTTTGATGTTTGATTTATTTGTAATTTTATGCTGATTGGAATTTATATTTATTGTTTCGTCGTTAAACTTTAACGAGGACATTCAATTTTTTCGTTTATTTGGTATGTTAAATTGGTGTTGATTTATTTGTTATGTCGATAAAGTTTGACAAAAAAATTATTAACTTTTTATTGACTTTCTTATTAATTTTTATATTGACTACTTGGTACATTAATTTTTTGTTATATGACGCTGATTAGTATTTTATTAACATTTGTAATTTTTATCTTTATTCATATTTTGAGCTTGAATGTCGGCCATTTTAAGTGTCCAATGGTTCATAAAAATTATACTTGTTCTTTTTAAGATGACCTTAGACACAAATTCAAAAAAATTGAACAGTCAAAATGAAGAAGTATACAATTTATAATAAGTAATTCTAAAGATGTATATATCTTCGTCAGTTTTATAATTAACGTTTTAATTAAACTCCACCGGTGACACGAATGACACAAGAGACGCTTGGAGTTGCTAACCAAATTACGAAATTTTCGGAGAAATTCATGCACCCATACGAATAACTTGAAACAGCGTAATAAATATTAATTTATTTCGTTGTATTCTGGATATCAGATAGTAAGATTTACACACGCTGTTAAGACGTAAACGCGGCTTATTAATGATACCTAACCTACAATTTGAAAGAAGCACCTGAATTTTGTAACAGGTTCATTCAACGTAATACAATTTACATAGATAACACGGATCATGAGTATAAATTATTATTCATTTTGTTTAAACAAAATCATTCTTTAATCTGGAATTAGGAACGCCATTGTTCTACAATTTTATTCGACTTCTATTCAAATCTTTCTTTATTAAAATCTTATATAAATTATATGTAAATTATGCAAATACATATATAATAATTATAAGGGTATTAAGGATGTGATATTATTATATTAAGGATATTATCATTTAAATAAAATTACAGCTATGAATATTATGAGTATAATTGATTAATAGCAGTCAGTAAGTAACATTAAGTAATATCATATTTAATAAAAATATAATATATGAAGATATAATTTTAAATTCACATATAATAATTCACATGTAATATTAATAATGTGTAACAAACAATAATATTAATAATATAGAACAAACATAATATATGATATTTAACATATGGCGTTACACATTATTCTAATAACAAATAACGTTATTCTAATATCTCATTCTAATAATATTAACATCAATAAAAATATGTTTCTCCTTGTTTATTTAACAGTCCAAGATAACTGTAATGCAATGACAATTGTTACTTAAAGTTCCATGATTGTAAGCAATTTCGAGGTGCAATATTGAGTTAACCGTGACGTAATAGTGATTCCAATGCCACTAAAAGCTAACGGGTAACGAAGCGAACAGGTGAGACAGGTAGGGCAAGCCGGGTCACGAAGACGGTCATTGAAGAACGAAATTCTGCGAAATCGGTGAACTCGACAGATCGACCATGACCATTGAATGAAACAGCGCAGAAAGAATTACCTCAATTGGTAACGTTCAAAGTATCTCATAATATTCATTAATATTAACTTCCGGTGGAAAGAGATTTCATTCATGAAATTAATGAAATTTGAAAATTTTGGGAAGTTGGGAAATTGTGGGCTTTTTGGGAATTTTTAGAATATTGAGAATTTAGGGAATTTTTGGGATAATAGGAATATTGAGAATTTGGGGATTTTGGGGAATGTGGGGAATTTTGGGAAATTTAGAAATTTGGGAAAATTGAGAATTTGGAAATTTAGGGATTTGGGAGAATTAAAGATTTGGAAATTTGGGGATTTGGGGGAATTGAGAATTTGGAAATTTAGAGATTTGAGAAAGTTGAGAGTTTAGAAATTTAGGGACTTGGGGGAATTTAGAATTTGGAAATTTAGGGATTAGGAAAAATTGAGAATTTGGAAATTTAGGGATTTGGGAAAATTGAGAATTTGGAAATTTAGGGATTTGGGAGAATTGAAGATTTGGAAATTTGGGGATTTGAGAAAGTTGAGAGTTTGGAAATTTAGGGATTTGGGAGAATTGAAGATTTGGAAATTCGGGGATTTGGGAAAATGAAGGATTTGGAAATTTAGGGATTTGGGAAAATTGAGAATTTGGAAATTTAGGGATTTGGGAAAATTGAGAATTTGGAAATTTAGAGATTTGGGAGAATTGAAGATTTGGAAATTTAGGGATTTGGGAAAATTGAGAATTTGGAAATTTAGGGATTTGGGAAAATTGAGAATTTGGAAATTTAGGGATTTGGGGGAATTGAAGATTTGGAAATTTAGGGATTTGGAAGAATTGAGAATTTGGAAATTTAGGGCTTTGGAAGTATTGAGAATTTGGAAATTTAGGGATTTGGGAAAATTGAGAATTTGGAAATTTAGGTATTTGGAAGTACTGAAGATTTGGAAATTTAGGGATTTGGGAGAATTGAAAATTTGAAAATCTAGGGTCTGGGAAATTTAGAGATTCACAATCCCCTACACCCCAAAAATCTCCAAAGACCTTCAAAAATCTCTCCCCGAAATTTGCAAAAAATATCATACTCCAATAAGACAGGTTACTTTCAGTTTCTCATAAGCACCTGTATCGATTTCCGTCTTCCATGAATAAATTTACCGCACTGGATGCACCCAGTGCACGATATTACGCGAGTTCTCTTCCCGTCTGCGTACCACACACGATTTACCAAATACATACACATTTATACACATATACACATGTGTACATACACATGTATATACACGTGTCTGCGCACATGTATGTACGTGTGCGTTGCACGTGGCACGAGCCTCGAAACGGAAGAGTAAGTAGATATTCTCGCGAAGAGAAGGAGTCGGTCAGATAACTGTACGTCTCGGCCTCCGGACGACATCTTCAGCATCGAAGCCTGAGACCTCTTCTTCTCTCGTTCCCATACGTATCTATACCTTATTCAACGTTTCGCGATCGTAACGTTGTCTTCCTTCGATCATCGTCCCATTTCTGTCCGTTCACCGGTTTACTTAAGGCGTCGCGGAATTCGAGGCCTCGCTACTTTGTTATTCTGAGAACGCCTTAATGGTGTTAATATTACACTGGTTGTTGCTGTCTTTATGCATTCAGGTTGATATCGTTATTATTTGGCTTGAGTGGATACTGGTTTCATTCTCAAAACCTTAATTGGGGGAAACAGTTATGTCGAGTGTGACACGTGTGGCGGCCATTTTGTGCCTTGAATTTTATTGGGTACTTTGTTATATAAATTTATTATAATAGTTGCAAGTTGTATATGTACAATTTTATGCTTCTTATTTGAACTTCAAATGTAACCTAATCTAATCTGAAATGTTTTGAAGGAACTACGTTTTTATTGGTTTCATTCTCAAAACCTTAATTGGCGTTGTGGAAAGAGTTACGTCAAGTGTGACACGTGTGGCGGCCATTTTGTGCCATAAATTTTATTAGGTACTTTGTTATATAAATTTATTATAATAGTTGCAAGCTATGTATATATAATTTTATATTTCTTGTTTAAACTTCAAATCGCAAAAATCTTTATTGGAGTACTAAAATATTTATGTCAAGTGTGACACGTGTAGCTGGCCGCCATTTTGGTCTTCACTGTCTCAAATTTTATTGGGAATTTTATTATGTAAATTTAATATAATAGTTGCAAGCTATATATATATTTTTATATTTCTTGTTTAAACTTCAAATATAACCTAACCTAACCTGAGAAGTTTCAAATGAATTACATTATTATTGGTTTCATCGTCAAAATCTTGATTGGAGTACTTAAATATTTATGTCAAGTGTGACACGTGTAGCTGTCCGCCATTTTGGTCTTCACTGTCTCAAATTTTATTGAGGATTTTATTATGTAAATTTATTATAATAGTTGCAAGCTGTATATATATTTCTATGCTTCTTGTTTGAACTTCATATATGACCTAACCTAACCAAAAACGTTTCAAAGGAACCTCATTAATAATAGTATCATCTGTATTGTAGTAAAAATATTTATGTCAAGTGACGTCACTAAAATTACTAGGCTGACCAAATGCAGCATCTCAAAGAAGTATTCTTCAACTTCCCTTCACCACCCACAGCTTCCTTTCTCAAACCTGCTATTAAACGTCCTTGACCAATGAATTATACGTATTTCATAGGACGATAAAAAGTGTTAATGCAACTGTGATGGAAATGTCAGTATCATTAGAAGATCGTAAAAGAAATTACGTTTTACATCACTCAAATCAATGTACGTAACTTCTCTTTCAAGAACTGATTTCGAATTTACCAGAGTTTATTAATAAGTGTAATTAATTTCAGAGTTGAGTTTCATGTATGATGCGTCGTTAATAATTTTTTAATTGCTGCTGTTTGACGTAGACATAAATAACTATTCTATTAACATGGAAACAGCATATGTTCATATATGTATGATCCTACATATGTTCACATATTTATCAGTTGTGGGTTGTATTATACATGATGTAAAATTTAGAGGTTAGGTTGTTCATATCCTGCAGATCACGATCTATTTATCCATACACTTATGATCCTACACATATGTATATTTTCATATGTGTATTTATGAATTATGAGTTGACATCTATAGGTACATATGTGTATGTGTGATCTAAAATTTGTAGGTTATACTATTTGTTCATACTCTGTATATCACGATCTACTTACCATATACTTATAGACCATATACTTATGGTCCTACACATATGTATATTTTCATATATGTATTTATGAATTATGAGTTGACATCTATATGTACACATGTGTATGTGTGATATAAAATTTAGAAGTTATACTATTTGTTCATACTTTGCAGATCACGATCTACTTATCCATACACTTATGATCCTACACATATGTATATTTTCATATGTGTATTTACGAATTATGAGTTGACATCTATAGATACATATGCATATGTGTGATCTAAAATTTATAGGTTACATATATTATTTGTTCATACTCTGCAGATCATGATCTACTTATCCATATACTTATGAACCAACATATATGTATATTTTCATATGTGTATTTCCGAATTATGAGTTGATATCTATATGTACATATGCATATGATCAAAAATTTATAAGTTATACTATATGTCCCTACCCAGAAGATAAATCATAAACGCATAAAATAAGAAAAGAAGAATAACAAAACAAAAAACTCAAGTATAAAAACCACAAATCAACCAGATAATTTATGGAAGTATTAACTATTTGTCACGGTATATACCGATGATTAACGATGACAGAATGCGAATAAATTAGAATACTAATGTTAATGTACGTTTTTGTTTGCAGATGAAGGATCGTTAACAGAAATTAGGGCCCCTAGGATAGAAAGGGATCTAGAAGGTGAGTGTCGTGCATTTTAATCGCGGCCATCTTGCATCCATTACGCCCTGCTACCGGAATTGCACTCGAACGAGCAATTCTCCTCCTGGAATTAATGAATTTACTCGCGTTCCATTGGCCTATTAATTCAGAATGAATACCGCGTTCAAGTGCAATTCTATCGGCAACATTTCTCTCTCGCTTTCTATCTCTCTCTCTTTCTCTTAGCTGTCTGGCCTTTCTCTTTTCACAGCAAAATCGTTCAATATCTATATAAAAAAGATAAAGAAATTGCAAGGAAATCTTCATGTGCGTGTTGACGCGAGGTGCGGCCGTGTATATAATAAAAATATATACTATTGTTACGAAATATGTGTTTCTCTCTGTGTAGCTATTTTTCTTGTCCGCACACTTTGCGTTCCGTTTTCTTTGGGTACAAGGGTTGATATACTGACATGCGACTTACTTTTAGCCTCGAGGGACTTGACAAATCACTATGATCAACGAAATGATTCGAGAGAATTCGTTTTATGAAATTGTTGCGTGAATAACGTCTTGTGAATTTTTAATGAAATCTATTTTATTTCGTTTACAGAAGGTTTGCGTGCTATATGCTATATCGCCACGCGCTGCATCACCACGCGCTGCATTACAACGCGTTATATCGACACGCGCTGCATCACCACGCGTTATATCGCCACGCGTTGCATTACCACGCGTTACATCACCACGCGCTGCATCACCACGCGCTGCATCACCACGCGTTCCATCGCTACGCGTTATATCGCCACGCGCTGCCTCACCACGCGTTATATCGCCACGCGCTGCATTACCACGCGTTGCATTACCACGCGTTACATCACCACGCGTTGCATCACCACGCGCTGCATCACCACGCGTTATATCGCCACGCGCTGCATTACCACGCGTTCCATCGCTACGCGCTGCATCACCACGCGTTGCATCACCACGCGTTCCATCGCCACGCGCTGCATCACCACGCGCTGCATCATCACGTGTTGCATCACCACGCGTTATATCGCCACGCGCTGCATTACCACGCGTTCCATCGCCACGCGCTGCATCACCACGCGCTGCATCATCACGTGTTGCATCACCACGCGTTATATCGCCACGCGCTGCCTTACCACGCGCTGCATCACCACGCGCTGCATCACCACGCGTTATATCACCACGCGCTGCATCGCCACGCGCTATGTTGCCACATGCTATAATGCCACGCGCTGCATCCCCATACATTATACTGCAACGCGCTACATCGCCTCATGTTCTATCGTCTCGCGCTTTATTGCCAAGCGCCGTATTACCAACGCATTATATCGCTAGCAAGAAAATTGAAATTCTAACTCAATACACATTTCACTTCTAAAACAATAATAAAAAGAATAGTAACTATCCTGAAACCACAGGAATAGACGTTATTCACGTAGAAAACCATCAAATGAAATAACCACGATAAACTTAAATTTACTAAAAATAAAATTATGAATTATCCGTTGTCAAAGAGAACGAAACGGATGTGGAACGAGTTCTCAGGTCCCTCGAGATGTACATACATTGGTACGTACATAAACCTAACGCCTGTGACATGTTCGATCGATCGCGATCAGGGCCGTCTCGTTTTCCGCGGAACGGAACGATCGGTCCGTGAACGCGCGACGATCGGAAATCGATACTCGTGACAGGGTAACGGGGACATAGAGCAGGTGCTCTAGGCTACCAACAGGATGACTCGTCTACTAAGATCGTCTGTCTCTTTTTTTCTGTTTCTGTTACTGCTCCCGCCTGCTCCTCGCCTCTTCAACTCTTCTCAACAACTGGATGCCGTCTGCCTCCAACGTCCGCCCGCCACTCCGTCTCTCCGACGACCTACATTATCTAAACTAAACAAAAATCAAAACTACACGCATTCGAACAAACGAATCGGCCGATCGCTCGATCGGCTAACACCGACACGACACGGACGAATTAACTGTGACTGGACCTTGGTCGATCGAATAAACGACCGGTTGAACGAACTCGTGCTCCCCCATGCGGCTCGTGTCCCCGAACGGTCCCGAAAACTCGTTGATATCCATGGCTCGATTGTCCCAGGGGTTACCACGGTCCTCCTAGTCTCGGCACGACCCGGTAAATCCGTCCCTCCGGTCGGTCTCCTAACGAAAACCGCGAGAACGTTCGTCCAGGACGGCGCTAGCACAGAGTTCGCCACCCAAGTAGTGGGTACCACCCTGGACAATGGTCGTTTGTACGCCAGGATTCTGGCTACTTCGAGTAGGGTGTTCTACGAGAAGGACCCAGCCCCCGATTCGCCCACTCCTTACGTAGTTTACCCCTCGAGGACGCCCAGCGACGACTGGCAGCTCAGGATAGCTTTGGATAACGCTCCTATCAAGGCACTCAAAGAAATCGAAGAAGCAAAGGACGACAGCGAGGAAAAGAGTTCCGAAGACAGCGAAAAGGCTGCGACGAAGTTGGACGAACTTTCTAGGGAAAACGACATATTCAGCAGGAGAGAGCCTAGCTCGGATCAGAGGTTCAAACCCGCGAAGGTTAGGCCGGCTGATAATCTACCGACGTACACCGTCAAACACGAATACGTGGGCAGCAGTTTCGACAACTTGGAAGATGAACAACCTAAAAGCTTCAGACCCCGCGTGCCGAAGATCTTCAAGCCGCAGCCTAAAGCTCAGGTGCAGAAGAAGGTGGACACCAAACCGTTGGCTACAGTGACGTACCATGGTTTCGCCGACTTTACTACTACTGTAGGTGAAACTGTCATCGTTTTCTCGCCCAGTACATCGCCGGCTCCTGCAGGTCGTCCTGCAACTACTATCAAAGGTGACGCGACCTTGAGACCCGACGACGGGGTCGCCGTTGTGCAGATCAGACCCACCAGCGTCGTTGCAGGTCAAGAGACAACGAAGCACCCTGGAAGGAAGTCTGATCCCAACAGCCCAACGGGTGATCCTCTTCTGGACGCCATTAACAGAGCCAACATTCAGCCCAGTGTCACGGAGGATTTTGAAGTCGAGTCTTCAAGTACGTCCACGGAGCCGCTGCTGTTGGTACCGGACGTGACAACTGCTTCCTTGAAGCCCACCGGGCTCCTCAAGGTCCTGGACTCCACCACCTCTAAGGATGGCATCACCACGCACTATAAGAGCCTCATTTATGGGACTTATATTGGCACCGACTATGCGCAGGTCATTCACACGTCGTCGAACGTGTACTTCTTCCCTGACGAGGCTACTGCCAGTTATGGTACCGGAGATACCACGGTGGATTATGGAACCACTGCTACAGAGGAGTCGGAAGGTGATCAGGATACTACGTTGGAGATGACGACGGGTACTACACCTAGAATGATCACCACGAGTGAGGAGTCTCCTCTAGAAATGAACGAGCTGACCACTCCGTTGAAGGACACCACAGATAGCGTGTTGACCTTGAAGGACATTCTGGAGAGCGTCAGAAAGGTCCTTGACACTACCGAGTCCGCTGCACCGACCTTGGAGGACGAGTTTCCGAATGACATAATCGCTGGAGATCCTCAGGGTCGCAGCATCAAAGGAGGTACCTCGAAGAACAACCTCGGCAAGGACGGCAAGGACAATGTGTTCAATGACGAAGAGAAGGTCACACTGGCTACCAGACTTCTTCCTTCCACAGTGTACAAGACGTTCACTTATTTCACTACCTTCTTCATTCCTGAAGGCGATCAGACCACGACTTCGATTCGTTCCAGAGAAGTGGTCTCTTCGGACGTCACCTACTTGACGGAACTGATTGTACCCAGTGCAACTGCGACTGCCGTTCTTCCGACAGCGTTGACTGAACCACCGAGGACGCCTCCGAATTTGGTCAACGTACCCGAAGAGGAGCAGACCACCAAGCAGGACGAGGAAATAGAGCTGATATTCAAGACACTGTACACCACGTACACGTATCTGACTACCTTCTTCCAGGAGAGCACGTCCAGTATTTCCAGTAGGGAGGTGGTTGAAACGAACGTGATCACACAGACCGTTGGTCCGAACGGAGTGTCTGCGGTTGTGGCAGGGTTGTTTGAGAAGGATGAGTCCACCCTGATATCGCCAACAAAGATCTCGGACAGTGTTCTGCCTTCGACGACACCTGAACGCGAGGAGGGAACTGAGAAGTATCCGACAACTTTGGAACAAACGACTGAGGAGACTTTGACCACACTGCAGGAGCAGGACACCACAACTGATCATAATATTCCTACGGAAGCGGCGGACAGCAAAGATTTTGAGGACACGAGACAAACGGTTCCTGAGATCGAACCCAGCCCAACTCCGGCTCTGCCTACTGAACAAGTCAAGGAACAGATCAAGACCTACTATACAACGTACACTTATTTCACCACCATCTTCGTGGACGACGAGACGGAAATTGAAACTAGGACCGAGGTGTTCACCAACGTTGTCACAGAAACCATTCAGCCGACAGCGGTGGAGCCAGTGACCCAAGAAACGCAGGTTCCAACTACGCCAAAGGCAGAAGAGAAACCGGTAGAAGCGAAACCAGCGGTTCCCCCAGAGATTCTGGCGTATCTGGAAGCTCTTCAGAGGCAGAAATCTCAGGAAGAAGCACTGCTTTTAGCGAAGAAGGTACAACAGCAGCAGACTACTCCTGAAGAGCCTGTTACAGCACCTGAGTTGAAAGAGACAACGACGGAGTATCCCACTACCCAGGAACCCACCACGGAGAAGGTAGATCTGTTCCGTGGGTTCGAAGTGATCGCCCAGGTAACTCCGAATCCTCCAATGGAGGGAGAAGTGTTGGGCTCCATGATCACCGATGTGGTGTCCTCGACAAGTTCAGGAGGCGGAACGTTACTGGACGTGATGGACAAGAGGAACGCGGTTCCGGAGGATCAGGAGCTGTCCGAGTCGAATCACCACGAAGTAGAACCAGCTCCGACTCTTCTTCTCCAGACCAGCTACACGACCTTCACCTACTTCACCACGATGTAC